TCCTCAGACTCGAGCCTCCTGGCCGAGTATTGGTGGACTTGGCTGGCCGTCCGATTCTCCTCCTTTTGCATGCGGCGGCGGCGTGGTCTCGTAAGACTCGGCGGCGGCGGCAGCTCGGGTCGCACTCTCTTCGGGAGGCGGCTTCGGTTCGGGGCGCTGCGAGGCGTTCGTGGCTGCAGCGCTCTCCATGTTCCCTGTTCCACGTTTTAACAGGGCCAGCGGCAGCTGTTCTCCAGGCGTGCATCGCACTGTTAAGTGGGTGTCGCTATACGGCAGGATACTGGTGGGTGCGTATAGCGGCAGATCTCCCTACGGAAACCGTAGCTGAAGGTTTTCCAGATCGACGGTTCCTTCGTGTCGCAGCAGAAAGTCCATGCCCAGATGGCTAGGAGTGCTGCCCTCCACCAGCAAGAACTCGTGAGTAACCGGCCTTCCAGCAATTTCGAGTCTGGCGTTGACTCGAGCGGTGGCCACGAATTGTTCCGCTGATGGTAACTGAAGTGTCACTCGGCACGGGGTGGTCGGCAGTCGTTGTTGCAGATCCCTCTCATTGAGTAGGGAGACGGCGGCCCCGGTGTCGATGATCAGGCGTAAAGGCTGCTTCTGTAAAAAGATTAAGCAGTGTAAGTGAGGGCCACCCACGGTACGACAGGTATACGTAGCTTGGGCGGGCGGAGACTGAATCCCGCAACATTCAGCTTTAGGATTTTCAGTCTCCAGTTGTTTTCCCGTAGTTAGGGGGATTGGCGGTGGGTCTCCGGATGAGTATTCGGCGAATAATCGGCTCAAGGCGGATTCCACTGCGTGCACTTCCGATTCCTCTCCTTCTGCAGGCGGCGGCGGGGTGGTCCCGTGGGACTCAGCGGCGGCGGCAGTTAGGATCGCACTATTGGCGGAGGGCGGCGGTCCAGAGACGATCTCGATGGACGGCGGCTCCTGGAACGGAGGTGCGCTGGCGGACGGCACTTCCTTTGCAGGGGTTCCCGTTCCGGCAGCTTCTGGGGTGGGGGTGCTCGAAAGGCCACTCGGCCGGGGCACGGTGGCGACGTGCCAGATCGCGGCAAACTGTAACTCCTGAGACGAATCGGCACTCTCTTCGGGCGGCGGCTCTGAGAACGAGGGGGCCAGGACGGCATCAACTCCACTGGGAGGAAGACTATGTCGGGCGCCCGGTTGCTCGGTTGGCGGCGGCTTCTCGTCGAGGTGCTGCGAGGCGTTCGAAGCTGCGGCGATCTCAATGTCCCGTGGCTGCTGGGCACTCTGCTCGAGCGGCGGCGGCGAGAGCAAGGGGGCCAGGACGGCTTCGACTCGACTGGGAGGAAGACTGTGTCGGGCACCCGGTTGCTCGGTGGGCGGCGGCTTCGCTTCGAGGGGGGGCGCGGGGTCGCAGGGGATGGGACCCACTCCAGTAATCCGGGATTGAGGGCGAGCTCGAGGTGTGCCGCGGTTGTTTGGCCGCCGATGCGAAATGGCGGGCGTGAGCACACGCTCGCTGGGGCTGTTGGTGTTGGCTGTCAACCTCCGCCCCGAGAGGTTGACGGCAGCTAGTTTCCCGAGGACGGCACGGCATTCCGGAAGGGGTTTACTCTCCGGGGTGCGTCAACGGGGTCGTCCGGGTCCACGGCAGTGACGGTCATCACGGCAGCGGGTGAGCGTCGTCGACACTGGGCGTCGATGCGGCAAGCCATGTCGAGGGCATCCGTCAGCGAGCGCGGATTGCTGCTGATGATCGGGACCTGATATCCAGTCTCCCGGATCCCATCGATAAAGCGCTGCACTATGATGCTGTTGTACGTCGCATCCGGCAACTCGCCGAGGACGCATCTGCCCAGGCGTTCCAGCTCCAGGGCGATGTCCTCGAGCGACTCTCGCGGTCCCTGCATGCGATTGTGGAAGGCGTGATAGCCGACATGCTTATTGACCGTGAAATACTCGCGCATAGCCGCTGCTATGGCCTCATATGAGCGGAGGGTGGCTTCGGGGAGGGTGGCGTGAAAACGCTGGGCACGCCCCCGAAGACACGTGTACAATTTCCTGCACTTCTTCCTTTCTGACCAATGGTTCTCCTCGGCCATGTCGTCCAGGAGGCGCTGATACTCCGGCCAGGGACGGGTGCCGTCGAATGTAGGCGGCAGCTCCGCGTCCGACACCTCGAGGATTCCCAAATGTGAGGTTAGGTCGTACGCTGGTGGCGGCGCAGTAGTTGGCGCGGCTCCAGGTCCGGTGTCCATCCTTCGGGAATACGCTTCTCGCGCCGGTGCAGAGTAGGGGTTAGTTGCCTCTGCGAAGCGCGGGGTGCTGGCGGAATGCAGGTCGCTCGCTGCTTGTGTCACGCCGCCGCGACTGCGCGCGGGCTGTGCTCCGTTGTTTCCGGAGCGGTTGCCCAGCATAGTCTTCTCGAAGGACGCCCACATCTGCTCGAACTTCTGCTCCAGCTTAATGTTGAACGACTGATCCAGGTCCTCCATTTTCCGCTCTAGCAGCCGGACGGAGCGGTCGACGGCTCTATTTACGGCGTCCATCGCGGCGGCATCATCCTGTGGTTCTTCCTGGTTATGCCCTTCAGGGGAGGCTTGACGGCGGTGGCGGGCGGAGTTCTTAGGCATTTTCATAGGTCACGGTTTTCGCAAACCCTATGGACCCCACACCTGACACCAATGTAACGAATTTCGGCCGGGCGTAAGGAGGTGCCGGCCGAGATCGCTACGGAAAGCCGAGCGGAACTTTTATTTGATGGTGTGGCTGCCAAGAACTCAGCTGTGCCAATCGCCCCGTCGAAGCCCCCAATGATCACACGCGTATTTTAGGATTATTTTCTTGGCTTTATTTTAGCCCCAAAAATCGGCGTGTCTGTTTTTCAGGAAGTCGGGCGAAGAACAAGAACAGAATCAGAGGGACCAGGCATCCTGGCTCTCAGATTCTCGGGATTGCGCAGCTTAGCGCGTTTTTAGTTCGGTGCCTTATTGCGCAGCTGCTCGCGCTGCCAACTGGCTTGAGGATCGAAAGCTCTATTTGGGCGGCTTTCGTTACAATATATTATAAATAAATACTAAAATATATGATTGGCGCAGTCGGCCAAAGTGATAAAAACTAATCGACCATTGACTATTAAATGTCTTGGGAAGAGCATACAAAGCTGTTTTTCCTATAAACATACAAAGTGCGGTTAAATTGACCAGTAATATTAAAGTCTTACCGAGCCTCCTTATAAGCACCACATATTTTTGCAAAACCACAATTGCACATTACTATGTACACCAAGCCAGCCACCATTGAAACGGAAAAATCTGTATCAACGGAGAACCGTAATAGTTGGTGACTATACCATCTGCATTAACGGAGCTGGAAATATCAACGGTGAACCGTAATAGTTGGTGACTGTACCAACTCAAAACTAGAGGCCGACTATAGGCATACCTCGGAGAAGTGGCTGTGACCGAAAATTTTCCAAATTGTCTACAATATGGGACCTTCTTACTGACGTACAGAACTTTGGCGAAAAAACAGAAGAGCTGCTAACTTTCAGCCAACATGTGGATCCTGCGAAAACTAGGTGAGACAGCAGATGCAAGCAATATTGAGCTGTTTGACCTTAGAATAAGATGCAAAATTCGAGATAGGGCAATATCGTATTAATTAATAAAATGAGCGATGCCCATCCTCGTGCCGCTGAAGGCAAAGCCAAATTCCTGGCGAAAGGCGAAGAAGTTTAGAGAGGTGGCCAGAAACATTCTGGCTCTGGCTCTGGTGGATGAAAGTGGGATGACCCAGTAGGTCAACATGGTAACCGACAAGTTAAGGATTTCACCATTCTTAACAGGAAAAAGTATATCGAAGTTAGAGTGATAGAGGAGCCAGAGACAAACAAGTCGCTGACCCAGAATACACATGCCTTGATCACTAACTCGATGGGTAGGGCGGGAGCACGTATAGTAATTGAGAATCATTAAAACTTTTTTTTTCTCATCTCAGCACACCGATACTATCAGTGATACACCGGTACTATCGGCTACACCCGAGCTGGGAAGCTCGGAAACAGTCCCTTTTTTATACATTGTTTGTCGTATCTTTACTATATGTGTTACGACCTTCGTTATAAAAACCTTAAGAAAGCTACTGCATTTTTACATCCGGGAAAGAGTAGAGAGACATCATAAACCGGACGCATGAAAAGTCCGTTGACAGAAAAAGCGCTACGCGAATTCGTAGTTCATGTCGGGAAGACTTTAATGCAAGCAACACACTATGGCCACCTTCCTATATATTAAAGGTGCGTTCGATAACGTAACGTTTCCTCAACTCGTTGGTCGTCGAGGGAGGCATCTGGCAGTGAAACTGACTTTTAAACATGAACATGAGCAGCAGATGAATTGCTGCTTGTACTGACGTCATTAGAGGGATATCCTGCTAACCTGACGTTATTAAATAAAAATAAATAAAAAAATAAGTTCCTCAAAAGGTGAAGTAAGATACAAACTATCAGAGCAGACAAAATAAATCAAAGTGATACTGGTCCAAGGTCTTCTGAAAGAAAAAAGTTAAGGGAAAAGTCAGAAAGGCTAGCAACGCATTCTACTCTTACAGAATCATTTTTAAAAACAACTTGATACTTGAAAGCATCAAACTACAGGCAAACAAAAGAATGGACTACACGACCATGAAAATTAAATTTGATATTTGTTGAACGGCTTCATACCCAACAAGGGAAAATTGAAGAAGAGAAAGGATCAGGAATCCCTCTACAGCGACTGATGGTGTGGTGGCTGGGGTCTACGTTGTGCACTGGGGGAACGGAGAGACATTCAGACTCAGCGACGGTATTTTAGACTGAGGTACTTGCCATAACGGGAGCAGCCAGTCTTTCGATATGGCGTGGACTTAGCGACTAGGGATGCAAAAACATCGATGTCACTATCGATAGTATCGATGTTCTTTAAAAAGACGATACATCGATATATTTTTTCCAACATCGATGTTTTTTCATCTCTAATTCACAAGAAAAAAAGAAACGCTAGAGAGAGGTACGTAGCTCGGAAAATTTTATTTTTTTTATAATTAATTAAATATTCTTACAGATTTTACAGTTGAATATTCCATAAGGGCGGTTCCTCGGCGAGGAGAACCAAAATGGACAAGTTCTTGCACATCAAAAGTAAGTTTGTGCGGCAATTTTTTTGTATGAATTGTTACTTTACGCTTTGACTATTCAGTTTCGTTGCAGATCATGCTTCTTCATCATTATCATCTGATTCGACTGATGCTTTATCATTATCAATGTCTTCTTCTGCTGTTGCTTCAACATCTTTTGCTTCGTCTGCTGCTGCTTCAACATCTTTTGCTTCGTCTGCTGCTGCTTCATTATCTCTTGCTTCGCCTGCTGCTGGTTCATTATCATCATCTGCTTCTTCGTCTGCTGCTTGGTCCACTGAGGGAAATGTGGAATCTGAATTTGAGTTTGATTCCTTGAAAAAAACCGGATCAGACGTTTGGAAATATTTTGAGAAGTGTAAAAACCAAATGTTTGCCAAATGTCGGTTTTGTGGAAAGGGGTATAAAACTTCTGGAAACACAACAAACTTATCTGATCACTTAAAGCGTCTTCATCCATTGAAAATGGCTGCAAAAAAAGAAAACGTAGCCCCAATTGACAATTTTTTTTCAAAATCTGAAGCGTACGATCCTGCTTCACACAGAAAGATAGAACTGGATAAATGTCTTGCTAAAATGGTTTCGGTAGACATTCAACCTTTTAGTATTGTTGATGATAAAGGCTTTAAGAATTTTGTAAAACTGCTGGATCCAAAATACATTTTGCCCTCTCGTAAAACTTTACAAAATGTGTATACGAAAAACATTTATGAAGAAACCATGTCATTAAAACAAAAGCTGGTAACGATCAGGCACTGCTCCCTAACAACGGATTGCTGGACGTCTAGTGGAAACGTTTCTTACCTAACGTTGACGTGCCACTTTATCGAAAATTTCGAGCTAAAAACCGTAGCCCTTGCCACTCAGCCCTTGGTAAATGAGGAGAATCACAGCAGCGATAATAATGCAGAGACAATAAGAGCAATATGTTATGATTTTGATATTTTTCATAAAGTGGAAACTATTGTTACTGATAAGGCAGTATCAATGAAAAAAGCCTGCGAAATTTTGCAAAAAAAACACCTGGGATGTTTTGCCCACTCGTTAAACCTAATAGTTCAGAGCTGTTTGGCTTTACCTGATGTGCAAGATATTTTGAAGTGCGTTAAAAAGATAGTTGCATATTTCAAAAGCAGTGCGATTGCTTACGCAAAACTGCGTTCTGCCCAAGGCGTGGAAAAGCCATTAAATTTAATACAAGAAGTGCCAACTCGATGGAACAGTGCTTTTAATATGCTAAAGCGAATTATAAAAGTATGAGAGGCAGTTTGCTGTGTTTTGCTGAAAACATTGAAGGCACCAGTTCCCTTATCAGAGGACAATTTTCTGTAATTGGTGTTATATGTACTCTTTTAGAACCTTTTGAAACAGCAACACAAAACACATCAGCTGCGAAAACTATTACAATTTCTTTAATTATTCCGACCGTGTTGGGCCTAATTATTGAAATGGAAACTTATAAGACGCAGATGAAAACAACTGTAGGCGCTGAAACGTGCCTGTTTTTAATAACACAACTTAAAAGCAAATTACACCCATATGAAGCCAGAAGTGTCACAAGGATTAGTACAATTCTAGATCCTAGATTTAAGAAAGAAGGATTCCACAATACTTTAAATGCGGACCAAGGAGTAGCAGCGATAGAAAATGAGTTGACCTACAGCTTTAAAAATGTGCAGACGTTTCTTCAAACCTGGAACCGCCCGTCAATATAAATAATTCAGATTTATATGGATTTGTTGCCGAGAAAATAAGAAACAAACCCAAATCCGTTAGATCTGACGCCAATACCTTCAGCAAGAAAACGCATTGCAAAAAATTAATCCGCTGGAATATTGGCAGGTAAATATTTGTGTATTTTTTATATTTAATTATGAATAACTCAATTTTCTTATAGGTAAACGAAGACCAGTTCAGCAATCTCGCGCAGTGCGCTTTAAAGTATTTTTGCGTTCCGGCCACTTCAACAGAATCCGAACGAGCTTTCAGCAAAGCTGGGCTAATTTGCAACGACAAACGATCTCGCCTTAAACCAAAGGCTATTAAAATATTATTGTTTTTAAAACAAAACCAATGGCTTGTCAACTAAAGATGTATATAAGATGTATATAAATGAAAACATATAACATAAATAAAAAACAATCTAAAGCAGAAATTTTAACCGATTATGGGAAATTTTAAAAATTAAAAAAAAATCGATGTTTTTAGAGATATATCGATGTTTTCAAACATCGATGTGGAAAACATCGATGTACTGACTATCGATGTTTTTGCATCACTATTAGCGGCACCAAAGTACGGATCTAATCGGAGCCAAGCGACTATAAAATCCCTGGCAGCCGTAAAACCAACTTGCTGAGAATAACGATATACAAGTAACCTGAGTATCTGGGCATAATAACAACCCAGGGAACGAAAAAACAGGTGAATTAGCCCGAACAGCAGGTTCTCGGAGGTCGCAATAAAGATAAGACCGCAGCTCAAGCTAGAAAAGCTGCAAGGAAACGGATTAAGAGACACAGAGAGAGGCAGAGCATCTATTGGAGGCTCTAGAATGGAGCCTTACCACTTTTGCCTACATATGGTTGGTACAAGTGGTTGTTCTTCTGCGCCGATTGCATTGCGGCTTTATTTTCCAAACTATTATCCAAATGAAGTGAATTATAATGCTGCCGGACGGCATATTATTATGTCATAGATCAAGGAGCATTGCAGTGTGTATTGGCGACATCGAAAGGCTGCATTTGATCTTTATGCATAAACAAAAAGAAGGGAAAGGGCTAGAGAAGGAACCCATAAAATTTCGAGAATAAGTGATAACATTCAATATTTTTGTTGAAAAACTAAAAAACATCACCTGACCGAATGGCAAAGACCAAATTTTTAAATGACTTGTGTAAAAAAAAATATAGACCATATCTTAAAATGTGAGAAGATGTTACTGTGGAATGGAACGTAATGAACGTAAATATATTTAATATTTTGAAAGAAAAACAACCGTAATAAAGTTTTTTTTTTTTAATTCTCATTTAATTTGTCCCGTTACTGTGTTTCAAACTTTAGACGGATTAATAATTCTTTTTACACGTTTTTTAATATAAAATGCAATTTGCATGCTACCACACCATATACTAGTATATTAATATAGTAATATATAAAAGTCTTTATTTAAAGATTTTTTTAAAGATTTGTAAGCGCTTTAAGCAGCAGCTTTTGAGAATTAGACTATTAAGAAAACACGCGTAAAATAAAACGAAAAGTGGAAGTTAAAATTTGAAGTTTACTGTTCTTAAAGTTAGGCATTTGAAATGAAAGAAAACTTAGATTGAGCAGCGAGAATCAGTTGACAAAGTTAAGTCATTTCAATTGCATCGTGTAACCAGCCAAAAATTATTTTGTACCATAATAATAGAGCAACTTTAGATTTTTTTCAAAAACAAACATATGTATGTTTTTCAAATTCGAACATTCTTTTGTAATTTTTTTAAAAAGTGCCAAAAAAATAAGTTTTTATTGTTTTTTATTTTTGTTGGAAGTAAAAACGAACATAATTCTAACGTATACCAACACATACATACATGAATGGAAATCAAACATAAAATCTTGCCTATTTTAAAATGTGGGAAATAACCTGTACTGCATTTTGCGAGTTTAGGGCAAGTAACTACATCCCGCCCACTCCACTAACCTTGTCCAAACCAACAAATCTGTTAAACTTTTTAAAAATAATAAAAGGGATCAGGCAGAAAAAATGTGTAATGAATTGGGAATATTAAAGCCCCATATGCATAGCATTACATTTAAGAGCTGCGCCCTCAAAAATTTCGACGTTCTTGTAGAGGTGGAGAAACATCGATGACATCGATGTTTTCGAAACATCGGAAACATCGATGCTTAGCGGGGCAACATCGATGTTTTTTCATTTATTTATTGTATTAACTATGTTTTAGATTACTACAGATGGCGACACCTTTAAAACGTTTGCTAAAAAATACTTCTGCGTTCTCGCATCTTCGCGCGAATCTGAAAGAGTTTTCAGTAAAGCTGGACAACTTATAGGAGCTTCGCACGCGGCTATCATCGACCGTTGTCGATAAGCTCCTCTTCCTTAAACAAAAACAAACATGGAAAAATATGTAAATATATTTGTATAGTAGAGTTCGGGATGGTAAGTAATACGGTCTTCCCACACAGCGCATCTGTGAGGAACGGTTGGGATTTTTCGCAGATGCGAAACTCGTGTTCCCACGGAGCTGCATCAAAGTGCATCTGCATCCGAACAGCTGATCGATTAGCTGTGGCTCATGAAAACGTAAACAAAGGCTGTCGAATTGGCTGTTGCAAATTTGAAATGGAGCATTTACCAACTATTTTGGCTGTTGTACAACAGCAAAAGGCACAGATTGCGTCAGAATTTATTTAAATGAATTAAATGACAAGGAATTTTAGTTTTTCTAATGATTTTTCTCTAAAAAAGAGCAAATTCCCCGGAGAGTGTCTATAGGTGGTATAGGCATCCAAAATCTTTAAAATAAGGCAGAGGTAGGCGGTTTATATTAAATAGTAACAATTGGGAACATACTGGGGCAAGAATATACAGAAAAAACGCCAACAACTATTTTGGGCATGCTTGTAGCTTTGGCGCCACGTTTTAAATTCCATATCTCATTTGATCCTCGCCAATTTGCTTACATTTTCGTGGTGAATGGTCAAATTAAGAAGAAGAATCAGAGTTGCACCGAAAAACTATCGCCTAACTATCGCCAAACAAACCGTGGTTAGATTTTAATGTTGAACTAACGCCAGTCCATTTGGGAAAATTCGGAACGGCAAAACCTTATGGACCGTTTGTTCAACGGATGTTGAATGTGCTTTAATGTTGTGTGGGAAGACCCAATTAGACTTTGATGCGCTTTGATGCCGGGCCATTTGGAAAAATTCGGAACGGCAACACCTTATGGACCGTTTGTTCAACGGACGGTGGATGCGCTTTGACGGTGTGTGGGAAGACCCTATAAAAATAGTAAATTAAACTAAGAAAAGGACTGTAACGGCCAGGGCAATGTCGGGCTAGCTCAGAGTGGCCCAAGGCGGGTTCGACCCGATGCCCGCACAATAGAATACCGAGAAAATATCGGACGTCTCAACTAACAACTATCGCTACAAGAACTACATTAAAAAGGTAAACAAAGGTTGGACGACTATATTTTTGGACGGAATTGGTGGCTTAGTTGACAACGCCACGACGCACCCACCCATCCAGTGATGCCTCCTTGTTAGTGCTAGCAAAAAATCGATTTTTTCCACTATCGATTTTTCGATGTTTTTACAGACGAAACATCGATAGTATCGATTTTTTAAAAATATATATATAAAATCATTTTAATAGTTTATTTCTTTATTTTATGACAACAAATCACCTGTAACATTTAATTATTTTAATGTTAAAAAGCTTCAGTATACCGATTTTCCTACTTTTTGGAGGCTGCCTTCTTCGTCCGAATTGGTGTGGATTTCTGCAAACACACACATACATTCACAAAAGTAAATTTGCAGGTTCTAGACAAAAGTAGTTATATATGATTACCCTTTGCCATCTCTACACCCGAGTGCTTCGTCTTTCGCTTTAATTTAAACACTTTAACTTACTTTAAACCAGCCAAAAAACATCGATAGTCCAAACAAAAAATCAATGTTCTGAAAAAAAATGTCAAACATCGATAGTATCGATAGTGCTCCGATGTTTTGCCAGCACTACTCCTGGTTATCTTCGGGCATCACCCATTCTCCGGCGGCCCGCCAAGACTGCGGAGAAGAAGCGGCGGTCCGCTAAAGAAAGTAGCCACAAACTGGCTTGTAAAGAATCCCTTCTTTCCTGCCTATTATTCCTACTGGAGCTCCAATGAGAAATAAAGGGGATGGGTAGGTACAATTTTAATTATATCCACTTCTTCCAAGCCGATTCTCTAATTTCGCTTATTTGCTTGTGTTGCACCAATCCCTTGCGCAAGTTATGAGACACGGAGAACAAGAACATCGGCAAGTGAGTTACACAAAAATACATCAAAACACTAACGACTATTAACAAAATTTTTACACAATGTTTTTTTCTTGCCGGCGGTTGGCCCCAATGGCCCGTATGGGGGCATACAAAGCCCGGGATTAGGCGGCGGAGAAATTACGGCCAGGATTGGCGGCGAAAAACGGCTGGCTCTATGGGCGGCAGAACATACGGCCAGGATCGCGGCGGAAAACCCGCCGACCACCTAGGTTAGGACCGGCCGGCGTCGACCGGAACGGACTCACCGCTGTCCTCCAGATGGCTTGGGCTGTAGGTGGCTTCCAATCTTACCTGAGGGCGGCTTGCTGATATGCCTGGTGATGCGCAGGTGCCTTGGTGAGTGAGGGCTCGCAAGTGTGAGGGCTTCCCAGTCCCTAATCCCGTCAGCAGCTCGGAGACGGCGAAAGCACCACTCCCACAAAAAACATAAAAAAAAACCGTGGCCCGTGTTATTGTTCACGGCCACGCTGCCACTTTACTCACTTTATTTTTTTAAAATATATTTTCCAATCACTAGATTTGTTCTGCGCTACTGCACGGCTGCCGTCCCGCTAATCTGCCTGAGTTCCAGGACAATATTGTCCTGTTGCATTTCTAGTCGGAATAGGCAGGAAGTGGAACATAAATATCAAGTTTTATTTTAATTTGTTTTTTGTTTTCTTTATTATTAAAATGGATATTTTTGTTGAAAATTTGACTTTTATTTTTTAAACATTACAAATTAAAATAAAGTTCAAATACACTAACATCGATGTTTTCGCCAAAAACATCGAAAACATCGATGTCCGTGAAAATCGATGTTTCTCCACCTCTACGTTCTTGTATGTAATGTACATATATATGTAAGTATACTTGTACATATGTATGTATATCCTATGTTATGCATGTTAATCGATCAATCTTTAAACAATACCGCTCCATTGAAAAATTGTTGCAATTTAACTAATTTTAAATTTTAAAAATAAGTTAAAATACATTTTAATTTTGCTTTGAAATGTTTGAATTTCCAAATTTTCGCTGACTTTAGAAAGTTTGTTTATTTGTACGTGCCATACATACGTTTCCACCTTTC